TTTCTCTGTGTAGCTTTGCGCCTTTCCTGGAGCTCACTTGGTAGCCCAGGCTGGCCTCGAACTCACCGAGATCCGCCTGGCTCTGCCTCCCATGTGCTGGGATTAAAGGCGTGTGCCACCACCGCCCGGCAGGGCCAGGCATTCTTAAGTAAGAATGAGACCCTGTGTATTTATGTGGGAGCTGGGTGGCAGGCCCCCAAAGAGTAAAAATAACCACCTACAAAACAGAGGGAGATGCCCACAGCCAGCCAGGCAGCCGCCAGCCCACAGGCACAGAGTAGGACACACAGAATGAAAGGTAAGAAGGCCCGAGGCAAAAGAAGAGGAAGAGAAACAGGATAATTTAAGCTATAAGAGCCAGCCAGAAATGTGCCTAAGGTACGCCGAGCGTTCATAACTAATAATGAGTCTCCATGTCATGATTCGTGACCTGGTTGGTGGCCCAAAAGAAAAACCCTGGTACAGAAGGCAAACTATACACTTGGGGCATTCATCAAGGTTGGTGCTCATGGGCTGGGGTTTCCTTTTAGCATCGGTGGATTGTTCTGGAATTAGTAGATATGACATGGCGTCATACAGGCTTTGCTCATAGTTGGAGGAGAGAAAACGCTCCAGCATCGGGGAGCCCTGAGGAGACATGTTTGTGCTTGACCTTGTCAGAGTGACTGGGTCGTGGTGGCCCTGCAGGGAGAAACCTGGGAGGAGGGCTTCAGTCAGGTGTGGGTGGCAGTGTGGGGGCCGTGGGCCAGGCACGTGCTGACCCTGCCCCTGCCCCCAAGGCCCTGGGCCACCCTAGATGGAGGCAGCTTCAGGCCCGAGCCACAGGGGGCAGGAGGGGAGGAAGATAATGTCTGGGGGCTGCGGTGGAGATCAAAGTGGAGACATAGAGCACAGGATTGGGGGACAGAGACAGAGGTGAGGGACGGAGGTGAGGGACGGAGAGGCAGAGGGAGAGGACACGGGCAAGGGACACAATCTCCCCCGGGCTGTAAGGTGGCGGGTGGCCCAGTCCTGTGTGCCCTGCGGTTGCCGAGGGGGATGAAGCTGTGGCCTGCGCCAGGCTTGCGACGTCTCCAGACCGGAAGTGGCACTCAGGAGCCTCTGTGCCCCTGGAGAGCTGGGCAGATCTCGCTGTGGCACGTGGAGAGAGAGCGTCTGCAAAAGGTCGTCTGATGCTTTTCAGGACACGCCGGCCACATGTGGAGCCGACACCACAGCCTTGGCTACGTGCCCTGTGTGGGGACAACGTGTGCACTAATCCCAGATGGGGCTTTTCTCTTTTTATGTGTGCACCTGAGTGTATGTGCATCTCTCATGCGTGTGGGAGCACACGTGTGTGCAGGTGCATGTGCATGAGGAAGCTAGAGACAGAAGCCAGATTGTCTTCCTCGGTGGCTCTTCACCTTGTATACAGACACACGGTCCCTCACTTGAACCCAAAGATCATGGACCTGACTAGTCTAGCTGGCCAGCTGGCCCGGCTCCTTTGTGTTAAGATGACAGGTGAGCTCCGTGCGTGCCTGGCATTTACACAGATCTGGGCATCCACACGTGGGTCCCCACACGTGGGTGGTGAGACCTTTACCCACCCCCCAGCCCATCTCAGGGAGTCTAAGTGACTGTTTGATGAAAAGGGGGGTGTCCAGACACCCTACCGACTGCTCCAGAGACTCCCACCACAGAAGTCCCAGGTGCTGGGGTCCTGTCACTTTCTGTGGTAGAAGGGACCCCGCAGATGGGCTCAAATTGAAGACCCTGATGGTGGGATCATCCTGGATCATCCTCAGCTCAGTGTCACCACAGGGTCCCCAGAGGGAGGCGTGATGGTCAGAGGCAAAGAGACAGGGAGACACCACGCTGTGAAATCTGGAGAAGGGGCCACAAGCCAAGGGTACAGGACCTTCCCACACTGCCACTGAGGGAAGAGGCTGACCTGCTCCCTCGGGTTTACCTCTGCTCAGATGCTGTACCCTGTCACTCACCCGACTCCCAGCTCCCCCCTCTCCCCCCCCCCCCCCCACTCCAGTCTCAGCCCACATCTGCCATGCACCATGTGGGAACCTTAGAGATACAGATCTTCAAATGTCTGCCATGGACAGCTACCAGCAGCAGGGCTCGGGGACCCAGAGGGACTGGCAGAGTTTAACTGTCTCCAGCTGCTCCCAGCAGGCCTTGGGGCGCACCCAAGTGTTCACCTGTGGTTTCTCTTAGGGCCACCTGGGACAGTCGCACAGGTTGTCCACGGCAGAGGGTGCTTGGCTGAGGCACCTGTCACGGCTGCTCCTGGCTGTCAAGTTGACTACATCTGAAATGAACTATAGTCCAGAAATGGAGGGCACACCCGTGAGTTTTTTTTTTTTTGGCTTGGTTTGAACTGGGTGAATCCATTCTGGTTGACCTTTGAAGTAGGCACACCTTTACTCTGAGCCACACCTCCTGCTGGAAGCCCATATAAGGACACGGCAGAAGGACGCTCTCGCCCTCGGCCTGCCTGCCCTGTCTTGCTGACACATCCATTCCTTCACTGGAATTAGAGTCTACTTGGGGATTCCAGTGTATGCTGAAGACCAGCTGAGACACCCAGCCTCGTGGACTGAGCAACTGCTGGATTCCTGGACCTTCTGTTCACAGCCTTTGTTGGATTAGCCGGACCACAGCCTGTAAGTCATTCTAATAAATCCCATGTATGCATACATACATCTGTGCATTCTGTGAGGTCTGTTACTCTAGGGAACCCTGACTAGTCCAGCACCCCACGTTTTGCAGATGTCCATGTCCACCCCATCATCTCACTCAAGGCCTTTCTTCTCTGTTCAAGGTCCCTGTCACCGTCGTGACAGTAGCCTCCCAGCCCTAGGACCTCAGCCCAGCTGGAATTCATGTCTGGGGGGACAGGGCTGATGTCACCAGGAGGGAGGACAGTGGCTGCTGGTGGCACATTCTCCACTCCAGGCAGGCAGCTCATGGCAAGTTTATTTCATAGCAACATGGACACATCTGGGGTTGGCAAGGCTGGAGTGGCCGGTCCCTAGAGAGCCCTCTTTCTGACGGGTGGCAGATCTGGGCTCTGCACCCACTGGTGCCCCCTGCAGGGGGGCTGAGGGGTATAAGGGGGGATGCTTGGACCCACAGCTCCCAGGACATTACATCCTGTGGTGGGCAGCCTAATTCCCTCCTTGGATCCCAGAGCATTTGGCAACGTCTTAGATACACAGAGACCTGGCAGAATTATCATTTCAGCCCCAGCTGAGAACCACCCCCAACCAGAAAATACTCCCCACCCCAGGAAAACAGAACCCATTTCCAGGCCACCTGGAAATGAGGGGGGCTTGTTTGGGACTGACGGCAGAGGTTTGGGCAGGTCCGGCAGCCTCCACAGGGCTGGGGTGGGTGGAGGGGATGGAGGTCCTCCATCTCCAGCTTCAGTCTTCGTCCTCGCTGGCATAGATGCGTGCCTCCCAGCGTTCCGCCAAGACGTTCTTGTGCCTCGTTACCCGCGTGGCTCCCAGGACCTGCGCATGAAGAGGTGTGGCGTCCCCATGGACATACGGACCACCCCCGACTGCCTCCCCATTGCCGATGTGCAGGAGGGTCTGGCACAGAGCTGAGGTGAGGACCTCCCCTCCCCTCCCCTCCTTTCACAATCTCTCCTTCGAACAACAGGACCTAGGAACCTGCTGACTTCTGTTGAGCTCCACAGCAAGAAGACCAGGCCCCGCCTCAGCCCAGAAAGGTCACATCTATAGTATCAGCACTCTAGAGGCTGAGGCAGGAAGATGTCAGTTTTAGGCCAGCTTAATTTACCTAGCAAGTTCCAGGCCAGCCAGGGCTACATAGTGAGACTGTCAATAATAATAATAATAATAGTAATAATAATAATAATAATAATAATAATAATAATAATAATAAAGTTCTTATTTATGGCTGTACCTGTTGAAATCATTGTCTTTTGGGAAAAAAAAAAGCCGCACACAGACCTATTTGCCATAATCTGTGCCCATAGCAGGCATCACAAGCAGATGACAGCACAATCTATCCCAGGAAGACTCTACCAACAGAGCAGATACCCAGTGCAGTCCCACATCCAGAAGAAAGGCCCTCAGTGACCAGTGCTGTGGTCGAGGTATTGACAGGAAGAGACAGACGAAGCCCTTTCCCTCTGGAGCTCACTCACCTCTGAGTTGACGCTGTCTGAAGGGTTGATACCTGCATACTGCGTGGAAAGAACAAGAATCAGTGTTCACCCTTTCTGTCCAGCCCCTGTGCCCACCTGAAAGTCCTCACACGGCCGGATCACCCGCTAAGGGCGGGATGGGAGGAGATGCCCAGCTGATGGCGCTCTCCAGAGTCTCAGGGTCACCAAACTCCAGGCCGTCCGCCATGCCGTCCTGACACACTGTTCCACTCATTGCGGCCTCTGGCCAACAGTGTCCACGGGTAGTCTCAGTGTATCCCAGTGAGCACCGCAGGCCTGTACCAGGCCCCGCCTGTGACAGGCCCTACCCCCAGCACACAGACAGCATTCCATGCGCAGGGCCACACACTCAAGGTTGTCGTCGTGCCGATTGTCCGGAGGAGACTGGAGGAGACTGGGGGTAACAGTAGGGCCACTGCTTGTCTGTACTTGATGGTCACTGGGCCATCTGTGTCCACTCGCCATGGGGGTCGGGCTGTGAGACCAGGCGGGTAGGCTGGGGTGTGTGCCGGTCTCATCTGTGGTCCCTGCCGGCATGGCCTGGGCACTTGACACTGGGCTGGCTTTGTGAGCCCGCCGGCAGGGTGTGGCACATCCTATGATGGCCGGGGCCAGGGAGATGGCCTGGTGGGTGAGGTGCCTGCCTTGAAAGTGGGAGGACCTGAGTTCGAACCCTGGCAATCCACGTGAAGTTGAAAGGGACAGTGTGTATTTGCGATTCCATTGTTCTGTGGGGGTGGGAGGTAGAGACAGGAGAGTCCCCAAAAGTGGTGGGCCAGTGAGCCTGGCCACACAGCAGCAGAGATGCGGTCTCTAAGAAGGAAGGCGAGAACCAAACTGGAGGTTGCCATGTGATCTTCACACATGCACAGCGGCACTCGGGTTCACACACACGCGTGCACACACACGCATGCACGCATGCACGCACACAAACACACATGCACACACGCACACGCATGCACACACGCACGCACGCACACAAACACACACACACACACACACACACACACACACACACACACACACACACGATTTGTGAAAATAATGGTGCTGGGCAGTAGTGGCTTATGCCTCCCACATGATCCCAGCCCTCAGGAGGCAGAGGCAGGTGGAGCTCTGTGAGTTTGAGGACAGCCTGGGCTACAGAGTGAGATTCTGTCTCAAAAAATAAAAACAATCAAACAAAAAATGGTGATAATGACCAGTCAATATCTGTTTTCTTCCTCAGCAACCTTTGGCCTTTGACCCTGAGGGTGACCCCACAATAAGCACGATGTCCCGCTTGTGTGTCCTCTCGTACTAGGGACTCAGGGACTAGAAGAACACGCAGTCCGTCTGCTGCCCTGGCCCGACCCCGTGGGGGGTGGGCAGTTCCAGCCGTCTACTCACCCACGCCTCCCTTTTCGTCTTCTGTCCCGGAGCACCGTCCTCGGGCGCCTGCACCTTCCACACCAGGCCAGAATGCAGCTGGATGGGGGTGAATAACGGTGATTCCGACACCGAGTAGCTGCCGGTGATGCCTGTGGCGGGGGGAGGGGGGAGATGTCATCAGGGAGGGTGGTCTGGTTGTCGGTACCCAGGCCAAGAGACTCGGGGTCTCTGGGCAAGAGTGGAATGCTCACAGAGACAGGCGGACAGACAGGCGGACAGACAGGCAACTAACTCATTGTGACAGACTGGCTGAAATAATCAGAAGAGATTTTAGATAAACAGTGGACCAAAGATACCACGTAGTGAGCTGGAGAACATGCCATTAGCACAGAGGAACAAGCCATCAAGATAAACAGTTGCAAACTTGTATGGGCCCAGTCACAGCACTCAAAGCCATAAAGTAAAATCCTGTGTTCCCAACAGCATCATTCAAAATCTCTAAAGCAAAGTTGGCATTTTCTCTCCAAAATCTACCTCCTGGGAGAAACTTCGCCACTGCCTCTCCAGCCACCTCCTCCAACCCCGAGACCTCAGACAGAATGGCCGTCCCCCGAGTCCCTGCTCACCAGATGCCCTGGAGGAGCTCCGGGAGTCTTGCTCATCCTGGTCCTGCACTGGGGAGAACACCTCTGGGAAGAAGGCATTCCTCCGCTCCTCGGCCACCTCTCGCTCCCTCCGCAGCACGCTCTCCACCTCCCTTTCCAGCAGGTCAGAAGACTGGGACTTCTGCAGCCTCAGCGCTGGGCCTCCGGCCACCTCCCAGCCCCAGCTGTGGGAGGTCTCAGCCTTCTGGGGGACATCTGGGACGCCGAACCGCAGAGGGCGCAGGCGGAAATTCTCTAATCGCACGGTACCCACATTGGCACGCAGGGGCTTCTCGGGGGGCTTTGAGCGCTCTTGTTTTGAGCTCGGAGACCTTTTAGAGCATTCTGAGACATGCTTTGGAGACTCTGTGGCCTTCTGGAAGGCCACGGCTTTGGTGTTCTCTGTGGAGACACCATTTGGCTTGCTGTATACTCCAAAGGCTGAGAATTCTAGTTTGGGGGTCCCAGGGCCCAGATATGGCTGATAGGCATCCAGTGGGATTCGGTTGACCTTTCTTGCCTCTGGAGGCGGGTCTGTGGCTCGGGCGTCTGGGCTGAGGATGCAGTCGGAGCTCAGGCTTCTCTGGAGCCCAGGCTGAGGGTCCTGGGAGAGCCAGTCGGGTGTGGACGCCCTGCCCACCTGCAGACCCTCCCGACGATGGTCTTCTTCGCGCTGTGTCTCCTGCACCATGTCCCTCTGCACGTAGAGGGACGGGCGGCCCCGGTCCCTGCGCGCTGGCGGCTCCGTTAGGCTCACCTTGCTAAGCAGTGGCCTGCTGGGAATCTGGACCAGGTCTTGATGCCCGGCCGCCCGCCCAAGCCCTCTCTGCTCCCGCAGCTCTGCCTCGCGCTCCTGGGCCAGTCTGATCTCTCTTTCGATGGGCGTCTCTCTGGGGGTCTCAGGGGACTCTGCTCGGGTCCAGCGGCCTGGGTCATTGGCTGCACGGATGGACCCAGCTGGGGAAACTCGGACAGTCTTCTCCAAAGTCACCTCCTTCACTGGTGACGTGGTCACAGGAATGGTGTAGCCGTTGGCTAGGCGGGGCCTGGTGGAGGCTTTGGGGACCTGGCTGACCCCTGGTGGGGCACCCGCAAAGGTCTCCCTGCCTGTGGGACTCCAAGTGACTGGGTTCGTGTTCGCCTTCTCCAAACTCAGGAATTGCTGTCGAGCGGCCAGGAAATCAATTTGCTCTGTGTCCACCAAGATCTCCTCAGTGGACGTGGGCCGGGGCTGGCCAGCCGGCCTGGGCTCTGTGCTGCCCTTCCTGATTGCCTGGCTGTGGATGACGGAGCGCTCAGCCTTCAGGTCCCTGGGCTGGCTGCAGAGGGCAGCGCTGGTTTCGTCCAGGTAGTATGCCTTCATCTCTTCATCCTCATCCTCCAGGTACAGTGACCTCGGGGGCAGCTGGCTGCGGAAGACTCGTGTGGTGGAGCTCACACTTGTTCTCTTCACGTCTGGCCTGGCCTGGTACTCATCGGACCAGGCCTGCAGGTCATCCTGGCTCCAGCTGGCCTCGGGCCCGACGCCCACCAGCTCGACGGTGTAGCTGGTGTTTTCGTCCAGCACCAAGCTGGTGGCACGTGCCGAGTGGGGGTTGCTGAAGAGCGGGTATCTGGTCACGCGATCCATCTCAAGGGGTGTGGGCGTGACCTTCCTTCTGCGGGTTGGAGATCTCCAGGCTCACTTAGGGAGGAGAGGGACACCAGGTCAGTCCACCTGGGGACAGGGACAGCTTCAGGGGCCTGCAGGAGAGCCCCTGACAGGCAACGCGTCTTGAAAGCAATCCCAACCCCAGCATCGCCCCAGCACCTCTGAGCTCCTAGACCAAACTGGACCTGAATTCCTGAGTACTGTGCCTCATACAACACATTTATATTTTCCTGCCTGATGTCTTTATTCCCTCTCTTTCTTCCTGGGACATGCCCTCACTCTGTAGCCCAGGCTGTGTCAGAACTCGTAACAATCCTCCTGCCTCAGCCACCCGACTGCAGGACTAACAGGCATGTGCCACCACACCCAGCTACCTGCTGATTCCAGCCACGCACGCATCTGAACATCCCGTGGGCTGAGCGGCTGCTCCATCCTGCCTGGCCTCACCCTGTCTTCAGCAACCGGAATCAAGGGCAGCCTCACCTCTGAGACTGCGCAGGTTTCCCACCTCGGCCACCTTCTCCCTCTCGAGGGCACATCGCTCACCCCTCACACTAATTCCCAGATGGAAACTTATTTGCTGTCTTGGCACCTGACCTTCACAGACAGTCATTGGGCTCTGGTTCTTGGAGATTGATGATGACATGTGGGGAAACTGAGGCACAGGGGATGTGGCAAAGTCCATTTCCCAGCTTACACACCTGGCATCTCTGCCCCGAAGAGCACCTGGTACCATCTCCACAGCACCTGCCTCAGCACCACAAAACCAAGAAGAATTGGGAGTGCCTTGGACCTTGTCCCCGGACCTGGGCTGGGCTCAGAGCCGCAGACCACCCTGACCTGGTATCTGGGCTTCAACCTTTCCCCAGCTCCTTCCCTGGCACTCACACCTGCTCACTTTTGTTTCTTCAGTCTCCTGGAGTCGGCAGCTGCACTCAGTGCTCAGTCCAGAGGGTCACCAAGCTCAGTCAGTGTGCACAGGTGAACTGCGCCCCAGCCTCTCCCTGGGGATTCTAGGCGGGGCTCCACCCTGACCACTCCCCCAGCCCCTCACTGGGGGATTCTAGGCGGGGCTCCACCCTGACCACGCCCACAGCCTCTCACTGGGGGATTCTGGCAGGGCTCCACCCTGACCACGCCCCCAGCCCCTCACTGGGG